TGACTAGTTAGAGGTAATTTTATATCGATCCGGCGTTTTAGGAAGCCGTAGATAGCAATTGTACTTGCAGGCTGAATTTTTCTTGATGCCCTGTTGGCGCATTGGAGAATTTTCAATAGATATAGGAGTAGATTATACTGGCTGTTCTGGAGTCGGAGAACTTTCGGAAAAAGTTGACGGGAATTGAGTCAAGTTTGTTCTACTTTGCTCATCCCCAGGTCTGAAATAAACTCAGTTGAAATTTTTTGACTGCAATTTTGTTGTCTGACTGGAGGCGTACAACATTTCGGTATTAAAAATTCGAGGCAAAAGTTTGGAATTAAATTTTAGTGTAATTTTGTAGTTTCTTTAGTCTTCAATCGAAGTTATTGTTACTTTTCTGAGAACTGAAACTGTGAATTGAGAACAGTGAAAGGGGGACTCCATGGTTTTCAGTGGTAGGGAATGACAGTCGGAAATTAAATTCACGAGAAATCGTTGGTAAATTTTGATTTAGTATTGAGAAATTCACTGATAAAACGAAGCTATTGATTTCAAAATCTCATCTATTGAAAATTTAACTAGATGTGACATTGAATCTTCATGCTGAGTTTAAAGGGTAATTGAAGCTATAATTAAAACTTTGATGATTGACTACCTCGAAAATGTAAATTAAAATTATTTAATTCTCCAAGATGAAAAAATATTAAGAATGTAGTGCTTCTCTTAAAAGTGGAGTCCAGACTTGGGAGATTCAAGTTTTAGCTAGAACTCGGAAAATTTCTTGAACAATTAGCCAAAAATTTCCTAGCCTGATTAAATTCTCATAGAACAATAATATTCAGGTTAGCTATCATGAATTTCCAATTTTATCTGATTATCCCTTCTCTGAAAATTTCAACCAATAACATTACCAAATTTGATGTTATTCTGTATCACCCATACGGTTTTCCAACTATAATTTTTTATTGTGTTCCGCGCCCGGTCGTAACTCATGCTTCGCACTCGTTACTTTTTAACCTGCAAAATTTAACGCCTTCATTTACTTGCAACGCGTACATTACCACACGACTACTATCTGCAGGCTAATTTTTTAAGCCAATTTCTCCCTAGGACGGGTTCGATAATTGAGACGAAAATTAAAAAAAAATGTATCATCTCCATATCCACGACGAAAAGTTGACGTTGCCTCTGAGAGCCAACCGGAATATCCCCTCCAGATAAGGAACACCGCCCCCTCCTCCCGAAAAATTCTCACCAGCGCTGATTACCCATGATGAGTTTTATCGATCGTAAAATGATATGAACCCATCGGGTAAGATTATGTGTCGGGATGCCTCCGTGAAATCGATTCGGCAAGTCGGGCGCCGCGTAATGTTAGAAAGGCGCGCGCGTCAAGTTTGTTCCGGCGGCGTCGGGGGCGTGGGGGGTGCCGAGGTAGTGGTAGGGGGATGACGGGGGCGCCGGTGGGTGTCAGGGGGAGACAGACGCCAGAGGGAGGGTATAACAGAAGCGCCTGAGCTTTCATAAGGTTGGGTACGAGGGTTAAAGCCGGTATCCTGAGCGCCAACCAACGGAGGGCTCTTTGAATGTAGGAGTCAAAGACAACTTGCCTGTAAGTTCTCCTCTCTGAGAAAACTTTACGCTGATGGTAACCAGTTGAGGTGGTAGTAAGGGGTTGCTTTACACGTTGGGGAGGGGTGGAAACATAATGTAGGCTTGTGCGAGACAGGACACTACTTCATACTCATTGCAAAAGCTTTTCAGCTGATGTCGCGGTAGCAGGGGCTCTCTAGCTCTTCACTAGGGGTTGCACACACTCTTACTCAAGTAATATGATGGAAATGGATATGCAAGCAGGAGAGAGCAACTTGAGGATGAGAGAGGACGCTGGAACATTGTACTCTGTCTCGCTTACCCGAGCCCTCCCGTTAGCCCCTCTTTACCCTGGCAATCGATATTTTGCCAGTACTCTCCACCGTGTCACGGAAGTCGAGGCCTGTGCCTGTCTTCTCCGACCCCACTTCACTCGTTATACCTCTACTCTTAACCCTTCGTCACCGACTTGCATAAGCCCTTGGGTACTCCCTATTGGCCTTCGGAAACCCCTTCGAGACAATTACGCACCCGTGAAATCCATCCATCTCGTGTTTTTATATTACAAATCCACTCTTGTTGCTCATCCCTGGCTTTATCATTTCGTTTTCCCCATTTTTTTCGCTCAGCAATATAACTGTGACTGATTAATTCACAGCGCCAAATGTCAGGGCACCGGTTTCTTCACGAGTTTCTCCAGTTGACAGGAATTATTATTTGAAAATTCAAATTGACGCAAAGAAATTAATGGATTGAATCGGTTTTAAAGGTTTTTAGGAATATTATTTATATCAGTTCAGTTGAATTTGTTTTTGTGCAAAATTGAAGTTAACAAGCGATGATAATGACAACGCGACGAGAAAACGGGTAGAAAATTAAATTTGGGGGATTATTGGGTATTGAAAAATTAACGCATTGAATGTTCATACCGATGATTCGAGTATTGTCGAGAAAATTTAATGACAATTGAATTTCCCTGAAAATTCATCGAAATTCGGAAAATTGAGGTCGAAGGTTCAGTGTATTTTGGTGTTTAATATTCCTACACCTATTGAAAATTCAATTAATTTTTTTTTTCCTTCGAGTTGTTCCACAATTATAAATTCCAATAAATTTTGAAATCAGACGGTATTTCGACTAAAATGAAGTTCAAAGTGTGAAAATAAGGCGCAGTCTCCCACAGTTGACTTGCCGCAACTCAGAACCAATCACAATAGGATATCACCACCCAAGCAATTTCGATAGGATGTAAAACAGCTTCACGCCGCCATCTAATTTTATGATAAGGGATAGAGGATGAGTGGAGATTATGCCCTCGACGGAGGAGTGAGTGCTGGAAAAGAGTTGAAGGGAGTTAGCACGAAGGCCCAGATATAGTCAGACTTGTTTGTTCAATAGTCAATTCGACGTCCGATGGGAGTCGTGCCAAGGTGCTGAAATATTTTGCATGAAGACTGGCCTCGGATAAATCCCCCTCCACTCATTGCAATATCACCTCTGCGCCACTGAATGTATAGTCCACTGGAATTCATAAGTCGACGGATGTTCACCAATCTCCTCGAGTCCTCTGATCTCCTTCGAATGGAAATCACAGTCTCAATCTTGCTTTACCATCGACAGATGTATGTACATTATTTCCATGTAAATTAGCATTGACTTTGTTGAACGGTTTTGAGGCCTCGGATTTTCTATTGTGGATAACCACCTTGCAACAGTCAATTCCTCTTTCGAAAAAAAAACTTTCCGGGTACTGAAGTTCAAGGGTAGCCCATGGTATTGTCACACGATTCGTCGATTAAATCAGTTATTTTTCATAAATTTAAATAATCCTTGGCTACACGGTGAAAAATTCTCGCCTGTCATTCTACCTCAAGTTTGAGTATAACTTGATTTTTTCTCATGATGTCTCACTTTTAATGAGTTTTCAACAAAAAAAAAAAAGCAACTTCACGTGCAGCTATTCAGGTCTCCAAAGACATCGCGCTCTGGATATCTTGGAAAAGCAATGCATATCCTTGAAATCAGCCGAGAAGCTATGGCGGCATTAAAAAAAGCAACGATAAAAAAAAATGTCGCCGCATGGTTCAACTGCTTATAAATATGCAATTTGTCGAGTAACAACGACGAGCGCGTGAAACGATATTGCATAACCATTTTGCTTTCTTCTCTTTTTTCTTACAACATAGGTGGCACGCGTTGTGACAATGGACAAGAGGTTTTTACAATCAACTTTAAGTGTCAAATTATCCGACCATTAGACAACCATTCAGGTCATCGAGAGATTAAAGCATTTGTCAGAGACGCTGTTAGAAAATTTCAAATTTTTATTCATTGAAAATTCATAAATGAAAGAAAAAATTCATCCAATTTCTCCGAATTTCAATTAACACTCGTGGAATATTAACAAATGTCTTTCTATTAAGGAATTTTTTCTCTCTGTCAATGAAGTTTAAATTGAGAAATTCCTTCAGTCAAAAATTTTTCAACATTACGTCGGTTGGGAGATATTATGATGTTGCAAAAAAATTCACAGATACATCAACGTATCACGTGATTGTAGTGTGACTTAATGCCTCGAATTTGTTATTTTAATTATGACAAATTAGCATTTTGAAGGGACTATAGCACCGAACAAACTTTGTACCCGTGCATAAACAGTCGTGTTGCGATTATCAATCGAAACTTCAGTTTCATTAACGAGAATAGAAAATAATTACAGTAATGAGGATTGCTTAGATGAAGTAGAATGAGTATTTGAGAATTGATTCTTGATTCGAGGGAGATAGAAATAGCCTCGACGGATCAGATGCATATGATTAACCCCCTGGAGACGTCTCAGTGGTATAATATACACGAGGTATATGTGCTCTTGGTGACGTTAAAAAGCCACCTTGTATATAACAGATGAGTACATGCGCAAAACCCAAAGCGCAAAACCATGTACGTGACACGATCCGGATCGACGTGATGTAAATACGCTTTTGCCCGTCTAATATTGCGTAAATCCCTTCCTTCTTTTTATTACCAACAATCGACACATGTACGCGACAGTTACAACTGCAATATTTACCACTACGATGGAACTGTCGCTGACATTAAATATTTCTGGGAAAATCGAGTACTATAACAGCAGACTGAAAGCCAAATAGGGATTGTACAAGAGTAAACTTTAATATTTATGGTGACGATGGTTTAAAAAATTAAAAGAAAGATTACCATATTGATACCATGGAGAACCAGGAATTTCACTCGAATTTAATTAGGGATGACTTGAAAATATTAAATACTAATATTAATCCTGGGGATTAATGGGCATTGCAGAAATTTCTATGTTCAATGCTAGGCTAGAAAAACTTTCCTGCAAAACCTGAAGAGAATCCTTAAAAATTCATCGAACTATAGTCATCCATTATTATCTGTTTCAGCAGCAAAAATTCCTGAAGAGGACAGCGGAGGATTTGGAGCCAGCAGGTGGCGGTGGTGGTGATGGTTTTGGGGAGCCTCCGGTGAAGGTCCAATGTACGCAGGGCCAGCACCAGCACCAACAGGCCCAAGCAGGGGCTGGTCCCCATCACGGTGGCAGTCACCATCAAACGGGCAACGGGACCTCGCAGACAGGTCCCCAAGTGGGTGGAAATGGTTCTAACGGTGGTGGCTCCGGTGGCTCGGGAAATGCCAATAACGAGGGCCTCACCAAGTTCCAAGTTGAGATTGTACAGCAATTGGAATTCACAACGTCAGCAGCTAATTCCCAAGCTCAGCAGATCTCAACGAATGTCACTGTCAAAGCCCTGACAAATGCCTCAGTGAAGAGCGACCTGGTCAACTCGTCATCATCCCCAAAACCAGGAATGGACAATACAACAGCATCATCGAGAAGTCAGAATAACGGTCCTGGTGGTGGTGGTAGTGGTGGCGGAGGAATAGGTTGTGTGGACATTGGTAATTTAGTGGAGTGCAAGCAAGAGCCTGATAATGACTTCGTTGATCTAGAGCAGTGTGCAGCTGCTGTTGAGAAAGACGCAGCAGCCAATGGAGTGGGTTTCCCAGGCTTCTCGGACTTTATCGGTGACGACACCGGTGATGAGATATTTCCATCCGATGCATTCAAAGATCTCATCTCTGAGATATCGGATATCAATCCGGATTTCATGAAAGACTTTGACTTCGATGACAAGAGCAGTGATTTACTGGGCTCCGGTGGTAATACCAATGCTGGCAATATCGTTGGTAGTAACACATCGGGTCCCATTAATAATGGACAGATTAAGATTGAGGATGACAAGGATAGTCATCAGCATGGTAATGCCACGAGTAATGGTACAAATAATGGAATTATCAGATCAAACTCAAGCCCGGGATTGGGAGCGCAGTATTCGCCTGCCCGTCTCTCATATTCAGGCCTTGATTTCAAATCGGAGATGAGCCCTGCGGCGCAGACGCTCAAGCAGATGGCTGAACAGCATCAGCACAAGAATCAACTCGTTCTTGGTAATTACAATCCTGCAGCAGCTGCTGCCAGGGGTCCAGCGTCGAGATCTCCTTACGCTGAATTCCCCCAATTTGGGGCTAATGCTGAGGCTTACCTTGGGAGTCCTGGCAACAGTGGACCAAATAATCAGAACCAAAATGCTCAGAGTGCACCGTCTTATCACAAGAGCAATAGCAATCCAAGTTTTTCGAGTCAGACCACTAGTGAAATGTTCGCTGCACAGAATCAGTTCAATTTGGATATGAAGAGGCCTCAGCAAGCTGGTGGCAAGCCAAGTATGCTTGGACCCACTGGGGGATACAAGCAGCAGTACTCGCCTTATGGGAGTCCTGGATCTGTGCCCAATCATGGAAGTCCTGGATATCCTTTGCCACCGAGGGCAGGACAGGGCGGTGGGCCTAATCAGCCTGGCTCAGCTCAGGGACCTTTTACAAGCTCTACACCACCTAGACCACCATCCGGACCTGGCACTTCCACATTGCAGATCAATCAGGCACAGCAACTACATATCTCCAATCCCGGCCATCAGATTCAAGTGAGTTGATTTAAATTTATTATTTCATTAGTTTGGTCTTCTCTAATTTATCCACTATTTCAACAATTTTTCGAAAAAAATATATTTAAATGATAATCATCTCGAAAATACACTCCAAAAGTGGCGGTTATATATTATAAATGCTGGAGTTCACGTAGGAAACGAGAGGCAGAGAAATCATTAGAAATTCTAGTATTATCTTGAAAAAGGGCGGAAGTTGACAGCCGGGGAAAAATTCCAGCGCTAGTAATGAAAATTTTATTCGGTGAAGAGTTCATCCCGTGTCGTTTATTATGTTGTGTGATTAGTTAATCTAGGATAATTTTCACTTTAATTTATGGATTAATTAATGCGGATTAATTACCCGTCATGAACTCGTAAATCGCGCAATTCCGCAGCTAAAGGCAATAAATGATGAACAAAATCCTCTGTCGCAAGAAACAGAGGTTTCCATTTTTTTTAAGTGAAACGAGGTCAAAATCGTGGTTTATCGTTTCTACGGACAAAAAACAGGGACATGGGTTCCTTGAAATAAGCGATGTTTTCCTTGAAACAACATTGAGAGGAAAATTCTATAAAAATTTCATAAAATTACCTGATATTCTTTAAATATTTCCACCAGTCTATTGCGCAATTCCCTGAAAAGAAAGTCTGCTGAATATTTCAATCAAGAATCGTTAACAATCTAAATGATAATCACATCAAGTCTGAGATTTCCGACTGAACTCCGGGTTTCAAGTGACTCCAACAATTTTCCAACCAAATTGTCTCAATTATCTAATTCCATGGTGCGCCATTACCCTGTCAATCCGAAAGGCCTAAATTTCTCCATAAGCCACCGATCGCGAGTAAATAACATTATTCAACCTTCCACCCTTTCATGATGGAGCGACATGAGGCAGATTAGCCTCCAATGTAATTGGTTTAATTCAGTTTGCTCGAAGGGGAAAAAAAATTGACATTTGGAAAATTGGTATGAAATTGGATGGTGAGTCGTCAGCGAAGTAAAAGAGTGATATCTGTTGCGTCGCGACGACTCGGCTATTTTTGTCGTCGAATCGACGGAGAGAATCGCGTCAGTGGCGCACCATCCGTGCGCAACAAGTTGTTTCCCCACTCCTCGCATTCATTTTCTCCTCTCTTTCTCCTTTCTAAATTTTACCCCTCACTGTTCGCAATATTCCAACCCCCTCTTCCCACACCCCTCTCCACCCACCACCACCTACTCCCCCTCATATGCCCCTTCACTCTTTCTCGCTCAGTGTGTGACAACCGCTGTATACATTCAATGTCGTCACAACGTTCTCATGCGCACCCGACGTTGCGTCGTACCCTCCACACCCACACCGTCACCACCCTTCAGCCACCCTTCAGCCACCCTTCAATCCCCTACCCCATCGTGGCTAACGTCTGCTTGATTTAACCGCGTGTGTGTGAAACCCGTATCACTACTATTCAAAATAATCTCTTCTTTTGTTACCCCACTTCATCGATTTGTATTTTATCAATTTGCGGTTAATAATCACTTTTACCACTACTGGAAAATAATTATATTTTCACTGAAATTTTCACTGCGTTCTTACGAATTTTTTTTCGCATTAAAGTTAGCAAAGTATTAAGGCATTTTAGTTGTGGAATAGTCTTGTCGTTTTATTTTGTATTCATTTAGCGTTTTACACAGATAAAATGAATATTGAAATTTTCCCGGACGTTGTAGTAAAAAAAAACCGTAAAAATGACAATATTTACCATAAAAATTGTCATTTTTACTGCACCATGGGTATAAATTTTATTACAAATTTGTCTCAGTGGATCAGGTAGAATATACGAATCAGAATATAGCAATCGGTTCGATCAAATCGATATGTCCAAGGTCCCTCTTCAACCGGCAGAATTTTCAAATGAGGCAATTCAAAATCTTCAGAGCAGAATAGTTTGTCTCTTTCTTTATTTGTTTCCTGAATTTTATGGTGATATTTAATGGAGGGCGGTCGTATACCACGTACCGTCTCGGATGCAAATGTTCTGATTACACGACGAACTAACGGACAGACTCTTTGTATTTACGATTTTATGCTAATAAGACACCCGTCGCACCGTCGCAACACCCCTCTGACCGGAAGTTGATGTCGTCGAGCCACTGGCCGTCTGCGTGGACTCTGATTCGGTTCAAGGGTTACATTTTTATTTCCTCTATCCTTTCATTTTATTATTGACGCAAATTTATCGGTCCCATGTGATCTCCAATTGACGCACATTGACTAAAATAAAGGGACACCGAGGAAGCGGTCATTTTTACAGAACATTTTAAATTAACAAATATACCGTCGGAAAAAAATCAATTAATTCTATGCCGTCAATCAATAAAAAAAAATCACTTCTATGAATTTTCCTGCAATAATCGAATAAAAATTTAATGCCAAATTTCACCTTTTACTGTTCTAAAAAATTCCCAAATTTTAAGGGGAAATTTCTGGAAATATATTCTTCACTGGATACATCTTATTTTTGAATATCGAATGCAATGTTGCAACAATTTTTCATGTTGTGTCAATACTGGAATAAAAAAATCATTTATTTACTGTTATTCCTAAATATTCCGGTGATAGCCAAGTTAAATGATTTTTTTTCTACCGTATAATTTTGACGTTGCGGTGAATAATGCGTGGGAATGTCTGGTCTTTTGGTTTTCGTTTGAATTTAGAAGAGTGACATTCATGAGCCAAAAAATCTGATGGTAGGAATATCATCCTGGTGTCACTGGAATCGATACTATCTCGCTGCTGAAGAGATTGACTTTGTCCTGTGTACCTACAACCGGTCGCTAACCCCAGTGTCACCTATGCAAAGTAGTGCGCTTAATTGACAAAATATTCAAATATCTCGACTTGTTACCGGGAATAGGGCAAAAGCTCCATTTTCCCAAGCTCGTAACAATGATAATTTTATGCCCTCCCTCATCTCAATGACAATAAAAATGTCCAAAGAACTTTTTCAGAGATAAAAGGGAACAATCGGGTCGACATTCTCATCCACTCGTCCTTCTCGTCTGAGTCATTAAATTAAATTTTCTCCCTTTTCATTCATTTCGGACTCAATCCCGAAAATTTTCGTCGCATTTAACTTCCATTGAAGTTTTAAAACATTCTGTAAAAAAAAAAGTGTACTTCAATGTTATCGATGGAATCTTCTTCGGAATGTAATTGAAATTCGAATGAATTATTCAGGGAAAAAGTAAGACTTCGTATCATTCTTCTCCTGATTATTGATGTTCCATTGAAAATTCACTCAAGTTCTCTAAATTTTTATTTTCATCCCATTCACATAGCACTCATAGATTTTTCCTGGGTTTTCTAGGAAATTTCATACAATTTCCTAGAAAAAAATGGATTGTCATATTTGTATGCAATATTGAGAGAAAAACGAGAAAAATTATAGTGTCATCTTCAGAACACGTGTCTGCCATTCAATTTGCGCTCCTGGCAATTATTTCACGTAATTTCGTTTGTTGGAACAAGTGGAAATTTACTGCTTGACCCCTTCACACTATTTTTCCCTTTTTAAGCATCTCATTCAAATAAATCGCGACTTTGAAAACGTATGGTAGTCTCCCCTTAATTTATCTCTGTATATTTTCCATTATTCATTTGCACAGTGAAGCATTGTTTATGATCTGATTTCCGATGACGGAATGCATGTGCAATGATGATGGTACGTGTCGAGTATACGTGCCCAACCATATTACCAACAATTGTGATTTATCAAAAAGCACCTGCCCTCTCAATTTTCACGTACAGTTCACATGAGGAAACGTGATTCGATAGACTGTGTGTGCTTTTACCACTGATCTCTCGTGCAACGTGACCCGCACTGATTTTTTAGTATAACATCGGATCACCGGTTTCATCATCCAATCATCAACCGTTGATGACAGAATTATACAACTGTTGTTGAAGCACTCCGAGGGATAATTTCCGAATATCCCAATTCATGGGCTTATCCTCTCCATCAGTTTTTAAATCCCATCACTCCATGTATCGTCGAAAATTCAAGCCAATATTTTTTTGAAACTCAAATATTTAATTAAATTTGAGTGATAAAAGAAAAGAATTTTCCAGTGCGATTGATTGGCTTTTACATTTTAATCAACACTGGCAAAAATCTATTTTACGTTAAATTATTTTTATTCTCATAGATTGTTTTACAGACAATCTAGACTTGCGCAAAAAAATATTCTGGTGCATGGAGAATCGGAGGTGAAATGACAATCAAAAATTTGATAGAAATATCTGCGAAATCAACGAGTTATTCCACATCGAAATTCGTTTAAATCCTTTACGAATCAGCTGTTGATGAGTATTAAAATTCCGTACAATCACCCTCAAATTTGAATACGATTTTATAAAAAAATAAAACATCGAGCAATACCCACTGAAAGACGAAGTAAACATTCTCTCAAGATTCGACACTAAAAAAAGGCTTTAGATCAGAAATTTTCAAAATGAAACAAATAAAAAAAACAGCAAATAACCGAAATAATTTTTTCATTCAGGATTTCATGAGATAAAAAAAATAAAAATAAAATTGTTGAAAACAATTGAAGTGGAATATCCGTAACCGAAGTTGAATCTCTCAACAACAGCTCAATATCCATCCGCGCCTCTCCAACAAAGAAAAAAATTGAATAAATTCAATGCAAATGAGTCCGCTGAAAAGTTGCAGTTGTTATCCCCAGCAATTTAATGCATGAAGAATTCCCCAGTGAGTTTCACCTAGAGAAAATACAAAAAAAAAAAAAACAAAGACATACAAATCGGTACGCGACACCTTACTCGTCGAGTGCCATTATATTCACATTGCTTACACTTTGAGGCAAATGTGTCGCTCCATAGATCTGTATATACAGCTGATGAAGGCCTGACGGAGTGCGTTGTGTCGTTGTGCACGTGCGTCTGAGCATAATGTATAAGGCACATTCCACAATGCCAGTACATACCGCG